AAATAATATATCACATGACAGTCACCACAAATTTTGGAGAGAAAACCTTATTGATAATTTTGAAAGTTCAAGTTCAAGATTGGGACGTACATTGCTGTTATTAATTATGAAATTGGAATCGCGGTCAACAGAAAGAAAGGGAACATTAACTTGAAGAAGAAAGTACGCGCAAGGTCGCAAGCATAGTAACACTCCAGTGCGTTGCCTCACACATCTAAAACCACAAACAGTATAATTATGATTCAAACTTTCTACACGCATTTATACGAGCTGACTTGTTTCTTGGAAGAAACGTCGAACGACGGATGTGTCAACTGGTCTGTTTTAAACAAAGAGTTCCGTTCTTACCTGAACAAATGAGTTGCGTGTTAGAACTAATGTACACCTCGCCACAAATACGTTCCAACTGTGCAATATTACGGTTTCGAAAAGTTACGACTCACATCACGACACAATGCGGAAATGGAGACATGAAAAGATTCAGGGTATCAATCATTTCATATTGATGTATTTAATGCAGTCTAGGGAGTCCTGGTCACGTGATGTTTATCACTTTTTTTTGAACTTTATGAACTGTTACGCGCGTGGTAATTGCTTATTTGATAGCTATGAAGTGTAGATTACATTTCGTGTTGGAATACACGATATTTCAGATTGCCTGTATTGCCAGGGAGTTTATTGTTACTAGATTTTAATTGATACAGTTATGGGGTCAAACCGGACTCTCGTAAAATCTCGTAGATAAGTCACCTGATTTTTAGGACTCTAGGAGCGCCATTTTCGGAATTAGCTTATGTATGGGCTCAAGTCAGGATTGTTGTATTTTATCAAGAATGAATGAATTCAACAGCTCTTGAATATCATGGCCACAGGATTAATGGACAGGAAGCATCGCCACGTAAGTAAAATGCATTGATGCATACAAAACAAATGCTTGTTCTGCTCAGAGGGACTTGTGTTTGTAGCCGGGGTTTGTTTGTCAACTTTGTGCGTGCAGTGATTTGTTTTTTCTCCTCCACCAAATTAATGTAACCCTTTAAAATTGTGGTTGTAGATTGAATTCCTAATTTCATTATTAGTCTTAGAGCTAGTTAAATAATGAAACCTGCTTTATTCATTTTCGCTACGAGATGGCTCTAGTCCGCGAAATTTTGTTTTGCAGAAATCGTATCTTCAATTTATTACGGGATTTCTGAAAAGGAAAGAATGCATTTGCACCCTAACCCCCACTCTAACCCTACCCCTGCCCTCCAGCGCTCCCCATTTAATTGTATATGCCTCCCTATAGTTATCTAGAGGGACATAGACAATTATATCGGCGGTAGAGTTAGAATTAGGGGTATAGGTACATGTACAAAACGTTATACTGTTACAAATGGGCTATTACAATATATCCATCTTCTTCTGCCAAAACCTATGCTTTTAGAGGTGTATCTCTCGCCCTATGTAAATGATTAACCTAAGAAATAACGAAATATTCAGTGTCAACGCAACAAGCACACAAGAAAGCCCGAAAACAATTTCGTAACATTTAATAACAGTGTCAGAAGTGAACTTCTCAAAGATGCGATCGAACTACAATAAAAAACATTCACTTACTCTGCCCATGATTAAAATCTTCTTGTTTTTTATTAATATCTTAACGGCCAGTTCTTGCACCCTTCCACATATAAAAAAGTTGTACGTATCCAGGGATTTTCTGTTTTTCATCTGCTACCTTGAATAATACGATATCTGTAGTACGAGGTAATTTACGATGTCTGGATATTCTATGCCAGGAAAAAGTTTCGGATCAGCAGATAAATCTTTTTTCTTAAAACAGTATGGATCTAATCCATCACAAAGAACTATTTTCGATAAATATCTGTGCTTTGAAGCACCATCCAGTGATTCAAAATACTCTGAAAGCGTAGGTTCACGGCGGTCCTCCATAACTACAAGTTGCTAAGGGTATTGCTTGTCTCCCAAGATGGCGGAAGCCACCGGCGAGGGCACTTTTTGTCACGTGATTGCAAGCGAAGAATACATATATTCAGGATCAGTCAATATACATTACTTTACATCATGCATCCCTGTTATATCATACACTGTACACAGGTGCAGGCATGGCTTGATAGATTGTTTGTTGGCTCTGATGTACCACAATATGAAATCAACGAAAGGACCATAGATATCCTCTATGATTTGATGGAGAGAAATGAAAGCAGAGACAAAGAAGCTGAAGCATTGATTGAAGATTTGAATCAGAAAGCTGAGGAATATAATGTTGAAGGTATTCTGTAGCTGCTTATCAACCATATTGAACAGCACTACTCCACTTCAGTCCACACTTCCCATCACTCACTGTACCGATACGCTAGTATATAGACTTGCAAACAGAATCTTGTCTTTTGAAATGCCATACTGCTTAACACCACTCCTTGTTAAACTAACCATGCTCGAGCCTGCTCCACACCACACTACCCCGCACACTACATTGCATCACTCACACAGCACAATTCCACACAACAACCATGAATTACACCACGTCAATCTGCACCACACACCATCACCCTAGCTGCTCCATTCAACTACCTTATTTCACTATTTTTTGTAAATTAAGATTGCAACATGATCATTTGATGTTTATTTTTCAAGGTAATAGTTGCTTATTAAGTTATGGAGTTCCTGTAAACAAGTTTCTTTTCAAGTCGAGCTGTTTTTTGCTGTTCATTCATTCTGTGTTTGTTTTTGTTTTTTCAGCAATTATATTACAAAATAATATTTTTCAAAACTGGGTTTAATTTTTGATGTGCCTTATAGTTCTGGGGATATAATCTACTAATTCTATAAATATTCAGTAATAACTAATGTGATAAATTCATTCTTATCATTTCTAACAACTGTGTTGTTTTTTATCAGCTGTTCGTCATGCTAACATTCTACACAGTGTTGGAATATCCGTTGGCAATTTATCTAAATCTGGTTCGGTCAGCTTAGCAACGTTAGCGAGTGCTGCAAACATGCTTGAATTAAAAGATGCTTCAATGAGTAGGTAAGCAGTCTAACAATAGCTTTATTGCACTTACACATTGCTTTAAATCAAATGAAGTCATTGGACGCCTTAATTGCTTTCTTCGGTAAGGAGGTAACACATTTTTCGATTTAACAACGCGAGTATCATAATTATTAGGTACACTGAGTTGAGAGTAACAAAAGAATCCTGCATTCAACCACCAGAAGGCGCTTGTCAGCAGGACAACATTTTCAAAAATATTAGTAAAATTCTACACAACCCCCAAAAAGTTCTTTCCCATGAGGGACTGTCTGGTGTGGCGCACTGGACAATGTAGTGATGCAACACAATCTCGCTCTATTACAGTTTGGTACGCTAACAGAATCATAATTCATGATGGCAAATAATCTGCAGTGAATGACATCTATTTTACTGACCGACAATGCAGTGCTTGATGTTCAGTTTTAAACTCACTTGTTCAATGTATGTTGCCAATAAATGTATATTTATTAGTCTTTAAATGCATGTTAGTAACTATTTAGTTGTCTGAATTATGGCTATTTTACTTGTACTATTTTTCCCCAACTGAAACTATTGTCTTGTGGAAAATTGAAATCATACAAAAACATATTGCACTGTTCTTCCTAGAACAATTGTTTAGAGTAGTTACTCATTTGCATAACAGGGTAATATGTTAATTGTGTCTATTGTATTTATTGTTTTAGTGATTTTGGTCTATTTTTTATCAGCATTAACCTTTTTGCCACCAGTTCCCCCTTTTTATCACAAATTCACAAAATAGTTGTGTTTTTAGACTGCATTTTCTTTTAGAAGATTGGGACAAAAATAGCCAAATTCTTTGATAAAAAAACCCAAAAATTACTAAAATTTTCTTTTTCAGAAAGATTGCAAGAATATATTTAAAAAAACGCTAACAAATATTGGCAGGAAAGTCTGGTGGTGAAAAGGTGTAAGAAGTAGTAGGACCACTACTCTATTATGCTTTTTGTTGGCAAAAAAAAAAATTGTATGTTATTTTCTAACTTTTCTAGTTATTTACTTGGTTTGACACGACTATCAGATGAAATAGCATTGACATCTGAGACTAGAGAGGAGGAGCAGAGTACAATTGATGAGTTATTCAGCAAAACTCAAAATGCTTGGATAAAATCAAGTTACTTGAAAAAGTAAGTCGTGTATTTTCACTATCAGAAGATATAGAAAACTCTTAAGTGTGTGTTATATTTAATAATTGTAGATGGAGGTGAGACCGTGATTGGTTGGTACCAAGCAACGCAACAAGCCAATCGGGGAACGCCTTTCTTGTTTACTGGACATCCAATCAAATCATGGCTTTTAAAGTCTTTGACTCATAATCACAGTCTTTTTTTCAGCAATTCAATTTGGTTTCATATCTAGCTTTATTTTCACACCTGTTTCTATCGTTCTATGCTGGCTAATTTGTTCAAAAAGTGCGCCCTCATTTGACAAATGTTGATTAGTGTTTGTGCCACTGGAGGGCGCTGTTAATACAAGCTACTTACATGGTGGATTACTCTGATGCTTGAAATTTATACATGTAAATCTACTTCAATTCAAATCCCAAATTTATCACTTCAACGAAAATAGCGAAAATCAGATTTCTACTGAAAAAAAGTTTAACACAGTACACAATAAACATTAGCATCAACAACTTATTTATTATTAAGGTAGAATGGTACTTGTGCCCTATGACATGCGTACATATTTAAGTATATTAGGTATTTCTTGTCAAAAGCAGAACAAAACATTTAGTATCAGTCATCAGTATGTACACTGTGACTTTTTGTCAATATGCCAAGTAAAACCACATTCCAGACACTTGCGACGCCCTTTTTTCTTGTTTTATTCAGACATTTGCACTCACTTGAGAAGCAAAAAGAACAAAAAGATGCTGAGTTGAAGCGAAAATCTCAAAATGCAGGATTTCTGCATGATAAAGTTCAACAATATAAAGACAGACTCCATCATTTACAGGTTAGTTAGTTTGTGAACGTTTCCTCATGCTGCTCAATGTTGCGGACCTAGACTATTAAAACATCGTCTTGTAGGGTTGATCCTTTGAGCAATTACCAAAAACACTTTGTCACCAATCTCAAAATCAATCATCACATTTTATTTTCTAAAAATGTTGAGCTTGAAACAACTAGCATAAATTTATTCTCATTTGGTTAAACAATTTAATGTTGTACCGAAATTTTGGTTCCAGATGTATTCTAGGTCATGTGTTCATGTTTATGTGCAGATTGGTTCTCATAATTTTTCAAGTTTTGTTTCATCATCTCCATTATTTTTTAATGAAGCTATGATCCAAATATTCCAAACAAATAGTATGTTTCAAATCCTGTGTTAGAAGCAACATGTGCATTTCCAATCTCACAAAGACTTGGTGATATATAGCCATTAATGTTTTCAAGGTCAAAATCGATCCATAATTTTTTCAGATGTTTTTCGTAAAATTGCTCAAACTTGTAGCCAAATATTAATTATGTGCAATTGGTTCAAAATTAACAAAAAAATTGTAGAAAAGGACATTAAAATGTCTTTATGTTGCACCAATCTCAAAAAATTTGTAGAAAAGGACATTAAAATATCTTTATGCTGCAGCAAAATGTTAGCGGGTAAAACTGGAAATGCAGACATTCTAAAATATGTGGTGAATTTTAAAAATTATCATCAAAAACATTGTTTGTGTTAACAATACTACATCTGTCGCTGTATCCTCATAAGTTACAGCAAGCTGTAACTTTATGGAATGATTATGAGGTATTTCTAAAATAGCAAATGTTTGGTAGAGAATTTTCCAATGTTTTTCCACATTTTGCTCAGTTCTGGGCTTCATACATCAAGCAGTCATTTGATTGGTCATTACTAGTAGGTTTATTACAAAAATACTGCAAAGTATACACTGAGGCAGGACATGATCACATAAACATAAACGTTGATACTCATGGATACTTTGTGATATAATCATGTAACCTCCTAATAATGTATTGTTATTAATATTGCAGGGTGAGCTAAATAAGAGTGGAGTAGATGCATCAATTTACCATCATACTTTAGTGAAAAGAGCCGAGGTAAGTGTGTTTAAC